ACCACGTGAACTACACACACACACATTACTAGAACTGTACCTATACCACGTGAACTACACACACACGTTACTAGAACTGTACCTATACTACCTGAACTATTTACTTTGCGCCTGAGCGTTGCTAGTTCATATGTTACTGATAAGTGTTAATGATGTTTTATAAGCAACTGAACTTAGAATGATTCAATATTGTTTATTTTTTATGTTGACAATTCAAGTACAATAACAGTGAGGTTTTCCCCCTGTATTATTAACCAATGATCAACTTTAGCTGATTAAGCTTTATTAATATTCGAAAGTTTAGGAATGACGAGAGATGTTTCTCACCACAGTTATACAGAAAGTCGGCGTGTGAAGACTAACACATGCAGTCAGAAGTAAATCATACAGTTTATAACCCTTATGAAAGTAGAAGGGTTGAACTTTGTCCTTTGACTGACTGTAAAAGTTGAGCTTTAGTGAAACTCTTTGACCTAAACGTAAAGTGTTCCAGCGTGACTCACGTTGCTTCATCATTGCAGTAGCTGTTGAGACGTTTAATTACGTTTGACAGAGAGTAAACCTTTGTAATTACAAAGAATAGGAACTGCAGACTCGACTAACCGGATGGTAGAGCAATCTCATGAAAGGCCGAGCGATTTATACACAGTCACTTGCCGGCGGCGGCTGGGAAAGGCAGTTACACGGACGAAGGTCAGATTTGACATCGCTACGATTCTTGTCTGTGAAAATGTTTCCCTCATACTTTGTTCAGACTATTCTCTTCTCTCGACGTCTTAGTCAGCCTACGGGAAAGTTTGCAGCCAAATAAAGTTAAGCAAAATGATTTACAACGAGAAAGAAAGGATCTTACCGGTGGTCTGCACGTAGTCGGGCTCTGGGTTAATTAGGCTAGACAACAGCGCCAAAGTTGCCGACGAACAAACGCCTGCTGGGTTAGATCTCGGTTGCCGCATCTTCTCGCACACACAAAGGAAGTTAACGAATAAAAATTCTATAAATTTAGTAAAGTTGCCTTGATTAACAAAAAAAAATTACTGTTTTATATAATAATTAAGAGTATATAATATTGATGGCAGAGTGCATCTTTGTGCTGAGGGACCTCTCGCATGACTGCGTATCATGAAAGTATCCATTACGTGCAGATTTCCTGATTCCCGTTCAAGAACCAGTGCTTGATTTAGAGATTGGATGTAAGTCTGTAACATGACGTGAGGGGGAGCTTAGAAATAAGTGTGTAAGACGACGTGAGAAGGAGTTCAGATGTAAGCCTATAACATGACGTAAGAGGAATTTTGTTTCAAACTTGGATGTGAGTCTGTAACACGACACAAGTGGGAGCATGGATGTAATTAACGATATATGAGAAAGAGAACTTTCAAAACTTTGTTTTTTAACTCTCTCTCTCTCTCATTTTCATATTGTATTATTTAGTAACTTATAATAGTATTACTTTTCTCAAACATTTTGATTGTCAAAAGAACCAAACAGATTTAGCCTTCTATTTAGTTCAATAAATTCTCTAACCCGACCATCTACGAAAACATAAATGTACACATCGTTTAGAAGACGTACGCCTTCTGCCAAATTGAAAATTTTGAACAGTTCTTTGGTGAAGCTCAAGCCATATCCCATGTCCATTTTTCCCGTTAGGTAACTGCTTGAAATTGTCCTTAAAAGAGACCAGATATCCAGAATGTCTTCGAGAAACCTCTAAAATCTGGAACACTCTGATTTGACAAAGGTAAAGTTTCATAGGCGATGAAAAACAACCACTATGAGTTAGCGAGTCGATAAAACAAACCATTTCGAGAAGTGAAGACAATTTTACTTCAGGCGCAAGTTTGAAGATTCAATAAAATTTCTAATATATTCGACCGTTCCCATCACCTACTGTAAAAGGAGAACAAATGATATTAAAACACAAAAACCGTGTTGTCATTTATACATATATAATTGTTAGTTTGTAGAATAACCACTTGGATCTTGTTCTCTTCACTGAAGCTTTTCGGAAATTTCAGTCGTGTTAAAAGGAAGGTTTTGAAGAATAATCAACTGATCGTAATTCTCACTAGGCCTTTATTTAATTCGTCGTAACAGAAGGTTACGGAATGTTTTCAAGGATAATTTGTTAATGTAATTTTTCTCTAGGCCTTTCAGGAAATGTAGTTCGTGTTAACAAAGGCTTGCGTGACTAACCAGCAGATATAATGCTGTATATGAAAAGTTAGCTGGAATAATGAGATAACAATTATGTACCCGATCGAAGGTTTGTGTCAAATAAACAAATCACAATATAATTCTTTAGGGGACTTGTTTTTTTCCAACAGGAAAAAGAAAATGAACGTCCAATCGTTATTTGATTATTAATGGTAAAACTTTTCATAACAAAAGTCCACTTCCAATTTCATGTTTCTTTTTCCAGAACTAGCGAAGATTACGCCAAATGTTTTAAAACCTTGTTATGGTGGTGGTTGTCTTTGAATTAATGCTGAAAGTGACTGATAAGGGTTCAAGTCTGGGTACATAGGACGAGACAAAACTGGGCGATAATTTGTTAGAAGCTGACCTTGTCTCTGGTAGAAATCAAAAGAAGGTAGACCACTAGCCGAGGTCAACTGTCCATTACTCATTCCAGATAGTGATGACATAGTGGATAGGTAACTACTGTAGCTGTAAGGCCAGTAGCTAAATGGGGGTCCTAACAGAGAAGGGAAGGTTGAAAGTCTACTGCCATCTGGTGGAACAATTTCTAATCCCATCATTGCTTGTCTTTTCCACTTTGTTCTGATGAGAAAAATAAATCCTATTAATTTAACAAAATATATTATATATTCCTCTAGACTTATTTACAAAAATGAAAATAAGTTTAAAATATATTTTTATAGCTATAAACTTTTTAAACCTAATTGATGAATTTGAATTATCTGAGTTTTTTACACCTTATACAATGGAATTTCTTCATAAAAATAAAGAGAACACTAAAAAAAAAGTGTAGAACTGAGTTATAAATTAAAGATAAGCTGTAGAAATTCGCAAAATAGCCGTAGAACTTGAAATTATTTTAGGCAGGATTAGAATAAATTAATCTATGAGACTTTTTCCCCCCCTTTTTATTAGCTATATTTTTGTGCGCCAGCAATACCGATTCGATTTTATTACTCTTCAGGATCTACTAGCCTACCCTCAATTGAAATTCTTTTAGGCAGAATTAGAGTAAATTAATCTATGAGACCTTAGGCGCGGTCAAATACATCAATCGAAAGGGTTTGACCTCCTAGGCCCAAAACTGTAATTAGATCTCAAATCAGTCAAGAGATGACGGAGCCATATTCTAAAAGTTTGTACTTGAAAAACACTCAGAGCCATTCTATGAGCCACGGCTACAAATATATCAGATTTAAGTACATACCCAATTGCATCCCATATTTTGTTGTTTTGATATTGAGAATTGATACTTAAATCTTAATTAGCTTAAAATGAGTAATAAGTTGTGTTCTCTGTACACCTATCTATATAAATACATTTGTTATCCTTACCTTCTGTTTTGGTACCACGTCTTCACTTGAGTGTCTGTTAGATTAAGTTTAGAGGCAAGTTCCATTCGATCCTGGACACTGAGATACTTTTGATGTTCGAAGCTTTTTTCCAGAGTCTGAAGTATATGTTTATAAACCAAATTAAAGCTAAATGTTAACTTGTTGTTTTTACTTTATAACATTGCTTTTAGTCGTAAACATTTTAAGTTCTTATTTGATGAAGTGCTTTATAATGCGAGTATTGTCATATAAATAATGTAGACTAGAAAAGTCAACTTGTGGACATCAAATTAATCTTTATGTCTTGATTATGCTAGCATCTTCATATATCAAAGGGGTACAGATGAAATGCCGGTTTAGAATGAAAACAATGATTTTAATGGAGAAAGGGTTATTTTTGCTTCAGCGAAAATTAAGTTTTATGAACATAATATACAGCATAAAACAGTTAAAAGATAATTATAATTTGTAAAATTATAGCTATAACAAGGCAAGCCACCTTATCGTAAAATAATGCAAATCACATCCATTAAATTATTGTTATGTAAATTAGATATCTAATCTGAAGTGGAAATGATTGGTCATTCAGTTTATGCTTTACATATTGGTCTCATACAGTTTTGTTTTAGACGTCACACTGACGCGAATCACAGAGTTTAAAACGCTACAACTTGTTTATGAACTATGACTATATCTCAAAGAAGGTATGTGGACGTTTCACGTATATGTAGAGCCTTCGAATGAACCAAAGAGAGCCAATTACATCAGGGTGTTGATTTCACGCATGTGTAGAATCATCAGATGAATGGAAGACAGCCAATCATACCAGGATGATGATGTTTCACTCCATGTGGCGAGCCATCAGGTGAAACGTCAACATCCTGATGTGATTGGCTATCTTCCATTCATTCGATAGTTATACATGTGCATAAAACATAATCATCCTGATGCGATTAGTTGCCTTCTATTCATTCCATGTGGCGAGCCATCAGATGAATAGAAGGCAACTAATCGCATCAGGATGATTATGTTTTATGCACATGTATAACTATCGAATGAATGGAAGATAGCCAATCACATCAGGATGTTGATGTTTCACGCATGTGGCGAGCCATCAGATGAATGGAAGACAGCCAATCACATCAGGATGTTGATGTTTCACGCATGTGGCGAGCCATCAGATGAATATAAGGCAACTAATAGCATCAGGATGATTATGTTTTATGCATGTGTAGAACCAGCGGATGAATGGAAGACAGACAATCACGTTTGGGTGTCGATGTTTCATGCACTTGGAGAACCACTGGAAGAATGGAACACAGCCAATCAGAATGTCAGCCTGTACGCTCAGTGAGCTACATTCCGCTCAAAGAAAGGCACAAAACAGGCCGCCTGCATAAAAGTGAACCAAGCGAGGAATTACTATTACATTTGTAACAGCGGTTCAGGCTCGGTATAGCTGAAACATTATAAATTCCAATTATCCTGTTACTGTTGTTGTATGTAAAATTACTGTATTCTAAGGGAAATAACAGATATTAAGCATTTTTCAGTGAATGAGCTGCTGAGAAAGTTCTCCCTAAAAAAAACGTGATATATTTCATGACGTTTCTTTTCATTTCTACTCCAAATTCATGATAAACGTTTTAAAAAAGACTTACTCGTAGTTGAAGATCTGTAAAAGCTGTTCTTGCTTTTCGAAGCTTCTTCTCTGATATGTTATCTCGAGAAGGAGTGAAGTTGTCGTCTGATCTAGTTCCAGCTGAAAGAGGGACATTTATAATGTATCACTTAATAAATCAAATGTTTGATCCCTAGTTCTTGAAGTAAGAGGTTACAAATTATATTCCACGTCAAAATAGATAGTTTTATTAACAGTTTTGTACCGAAGTTCATCAGGTCAACGTTGTTTTGAATACACTCTATTATGTATCAGAGGATAAATTGGAGAAAAAAGAACTCGTATACATATATAAAATCAAATATGAAATTGGTATTACTATTGCAGGGAGTACAACGTTTACATAAATACTGAAGTAAAATATTTTTGTTCCAATGGATGAGCAATAAGTTTACGGACTTAAAACGTTAGAATACGGGATTAGATTCTCCGCATTGTCAAAGCACAAATAGTCTATTGTGTAGATTTGTGCAAAAACAAACAGACGTAAAGTAGTGTTAATAAACTGCCAATAAATATAAAGTTTTTTAATTATTGTTTTATATAACAACTTATGCATTTAATATTAACATATCTAACTCTGAAACGTTTTGGTTGTAATGTGTAGTTAAGAAACCTGATTTTTCCAGAGTACTAACTCTAGGCTTAGTACCAATAACAACTTCCACATTTTCACTGTAATGAGTAAACCCACCGCGCTTCTCTTGCTGGCACGGGCAAGTGGTTAGGGCGCTTGACTCGCAATCTGAGTAGCTCTACGCTAAAAAGAAATATTGTTTCCATTACATCCACCCCCATTGGCACAGCGGCATGTCTTCGGACTTATAACGCTCGAAACCGGGTTTCGATACCCGTGGTGGGCAGAGCACAGATAGCCCATCGTGTAGCTTTGTGCTTAATTACAAACAAATTATTACACCGCCATCTTTTGGCGATTAAACTAGTTCTTATAGTTTTGTGAGCGATATATTAAATATAAATATTGATTAATGATGTTAGGTAAACAAGAAGGTTCAAAAACTCAATTTAAGGTAAAAATCCTACAATGCGAGTGCATCTGAAAAGAGACAAACTGATTAAGAAAGATCTACCTTTCGATAGCGCTTGGGTTATATATAGGGTTTGTATTTTTATCTTAAACATAAAGACTGACTCATTTGAGTTACTAGCACATCCGAGAACTATAACATCAAATGAAATAATTCTAACTCTGATTTATTATCTTTCAAAACACTGTTCCAAGTCACACATAAAGAACTTTATGATATTTAGAGTTTTAGTCCAAGAACAAAGTTTGACAAACAGTCCAGAAGTGGAAGCATACATGTTAGTTCAGCAGTGAAAATACACATTTCTGATGGTAATTTTCATAGTGCGAAGTACGAATTCTAGTAGCAAAAAATAGTAAAAAAAAAAGTTATTCAAACTCAGCTGTAAAAAAGAAGAAGTCCCCGGTGGGACAGTGGTAATTCTACAGACTTAGAACGCTAAAATCCGCGGCTCGATTCTCCGCGGCGGACACAGTAGATAACACAATGTGGATTTTCTCTAACAAAAAAAAATAATAATAAATCGTTTTGTGTAATTAGTGAAATATCAGTTTTAGTTTTCTAGCTCAAATTGAAACCATAATGTAACCTTTATCAAGAATCGTCTAAAAATATATAGACATTTCTATGACTTATCGTACGCATTCATGGATTCTGCTCACACAACAAAGTCAAATCCTGTCTAGAGCCAATTAAAATTACACAATTAAATAAAACCACATCAGCCAACTTAAACCCAACAAATAATGAAGTACGGTCAGAACAGTCTAGTTCAACGGGGACACAAAAATCAAATGAAACACTACAAAATTAAGTATAACTACATCAATAAAATATAACTACAAAAAATAACTTTAATAACTCCAGAGCCATGTGAAAGTATAGAAAGTGGAAAGGCAGAACTGATGATAATTCTAATAGATTAAAACTTTACTTTTCTAATAGTTATACATTATACAACATAAAAAGTTGGAATGAATTATTAGCAGAAAGAGAGGAGATGACAGATGGGCTCTGTGAACGAATCAGATTGAAGGGTATAAAAATTAGACTTTGCCTTCGTAATATCAATATTATACTAAGTAATATATGCTAAACTACGTACTTCAGAGAGGGGTGGCAAATAAATTAGAGAAGATCTAGAAAAAAATGTCATACTAGGGGAGATTGAGGATTTTTTTAAATATTTTCTTATAAAATTAAGAACTTGAATCTTATATAATATGTAATTTTGATTTACTAACTACGTTTGATCCAAGTTTAGTCGTATATATTAATAAAAAGTAGTTTAATTAAATTTTGAATATAACTCTGTACATGGTCATGAGATGCGCACTCTGACCTACCCGTCGCCAGAGGGATAATGGGTTTGAAAGTTCATGGTGTTAGAAAAACACGTAGGTTCATGATGTTTGGATAGAAATGAATATAACCTGAGCGCTTTCGAAAGGTGAGCCTTTCTTCTTAAGGGGCAAACTTGGCTTGAAAGTTGTAAGTTAGCGAAAAAAAAATCGTCTCTAATAAAAACGTCTCACTTGAAATAATATACTTGTGTGTAATATTTCAATAACAAATCCTCTAGTGCTACAGTGATAAAACTCTGACTAGAAGAAAATTTACTTACCTGAAGGTTTGATTTTTTATAGCCAGGCAATTGATTTGTTATGTTCTACAAAATGTGGACACTGAGTGGCGATTGTGTTACGGATGTTCTTTACCGTTTTTAATGTTGAACGTGATTCAATAATCAAATACCCTGGTAGGAGGCGCTTTATAATGGAGCTTATTATTACTAACTTATTTGCGTTTAATTTCACAGAAGACCTAACAAAATGTATTCGTAAAAATGTGTGTTTGTAGATCTTTAAACAATTTAAGCACATGGTGAATTATATAGTAGGCTTAGAACGTACACTTGTAACATGCTGGGTTATGTAGTACTTTTAAAATATACACCTGTAAAATGGTGATTTACTAGTACGCTTACAACATACACTTATGACATGATGGATTATGTAGTACGCTTACAACATACACTTGTAACCTGGTGGATTATGTAGTACGCTTTCAACATATATTTGTAACATGATGGATTATGTGATATATAGAGCTCAATAAGTATCAGGTGTGGTATCCATAACTCAATAAGTATCAGGTGTGATATCCATAACTCAATAAGTATCAGGTGTGATATACATATGTCAATAACTCGGTATTTAGAACAAATAAAGAAAAGACTTGACTGTAAAGCTAAGTAAAACGAACTAGCACAATACAGATAAAACCGTTAACATAGTTGTATGAGAAACCATATGTGATTGAACTTTTGGCCAACGGATTTTTATTAAAACCTAAATGACAAAAGATATTTTCTCACTTACGTTCAGAAGAAAGGTACATGATTAGAAACTCAACTAGATTTTTGTCTCTGACATGTATATGTTTTCCTGATATCACAAAACTGAAGTTGCTTTCATATGTTATTAATATATGTTATTACTTGTGGACACAGGTGCTTGAGTAGGGGCCGTCTACATGCAGTTTACAACCCCGACAGCATACACAGATGCGAACCCTTATTACATGTTGCCCTTTGACGGACGCTACAGGAGACTGCTTGTATTTGTTCCTTACAACTGTACGGGTTTGCTCTTTACAATTGCTCCATTAAAAGATCGACAATGTGGAAAATTGGCCACTTGAAGTTAGTTTCCCAAGATTAGAATAAAGACAGAACTTCCAGGCTGTAATAACATTCTCCAATCAAAGCTTGGGATTTAATCCAGAGTTCTCATGCTCTGTTACAAATCATTTGAATTACAGTGGATTATGTCTTATTATGGTCCAGGTAAGAATTAGAGCTGAACTTCTCTAGTAACGTAATTATTCTTTTCTTGTGGTCTACAACAAGTCAACAAACGTTGTGTTTTCCCAAATAAGGTTTCACGAAAAACTTTTTGTTGTTTAATTAGCAGTATCTTCTTATAAGAACCACGATAACTGGGTGGAAAACAACAAGAGAGAGACATCGAGCTTGTGAATGAGTTCAATCCAGGATGAGAAGTCATCGTTTTCCTGTTCTATAGATTAGCTCTAACCAAAATAGAGGCTATTAGAAAGTGAACTGAGAACACCAATTATCACGTATATCACATTTTTACAATTTCCTCATATTACAGCATTCATCAGATTCGTCAATGTTTATCGAATTTTGCTTTAATGATACGTGTCTTTATCATATTTGCCCCCGTTATTTCTTTATCTGTACTAGAGTCTGCATGGTAATAATGTTAGTTACTTGATAATATTTCCGTGATGACCTATTTGAAGTATGGAATTGGTCTTAATGATCAGTTTGTGTGGTACTGGTCGTAATGATCTTTATATGTAGTATTTGTGGCAATGATCAGTTTGTGTGGCATTGGTCGTAATGATCCAATGAACAATTTGTGTGGTATTGGTCATAATGATATTTATGTGTGGTATTGGTCGTAATTATCAGTTTGTGTGGTACTGGTCGTATAGATCAGTTTGTGTGGCATTGGTCATAATGATCAGTTTGTGTGGTATTGATCATAATGATCAGTTTGTGTGGTATTGGTCGTAATGATCAGTTTGTGTGGCATTGGTCGTAATGATTTTTATGTGTGGTATTGGTCGTAATGATAAGTTTGTGTGGCACTGGTAGTAATGATCCAATGATCAGTTTGTGTGGTATTGGCAGTAATGATCCAATGATCGTTATGTGTGGTATTGATCGTAATGATAAGTTTGTGTGGCACTGGTAGTAATGATCCAATGATCAGTTTGTGTGGTATTGGCAGTAATGATCCAATGATCGTTATGTGTGGTATTTATCAAACTGTATACCTCTAAGTTGGATTAACGTTAACTTAAAGTCTCTAAATTTGTTATAACAATTATTGTCAAGATAATCTAAAACACTCAAGCTTCTAATAATTAAAAATACAAAAATTGTTTCCAAATAACATTGAAAAAAGGTCGATTTTTAAGAATCAAATAAAATGTTCT